TGCATCGATGGGAGGCGAGGGGCAGGGTTCGGATGTCGCCGCGTGTTCGACGAACTCCGAACCCTGCCCCCGCCGCACATCGAGTTGCCCGAAGCGTTGATCGGCGAGGATCGTGCCCAAATCTCGCCCCGCCGATCTCCGAGGAGAGACCCCGGCGGCTCTGGAGGACGCCCCGGGCGCGGCGCCCTCCTCTCTGGGCCGAGCTGCCCCGCTCCTGTGTACGGTGCCCGCCCCCTCCCTGGCACCGTCGCCGGAGGAAGCCGACCCGCATCCTGCAGGGCAGCAGACAGAAGAGAAAAGCACGGGTAGGGGGCCACATGCGAACCCTACCCCTGCCCCCCACGATTTTTGAGGGGGAGGGTGGGGTTCGCTTTGCTCGGGAGCTCTCGAACAAAGCGAACCCCACCCTCCCCCCAAAAAATCGTGGGGGGTAGGGGTAGGGTTCGCATGTGGCCCCCTAACGGGTGCTGAGAAATGCGACCCTGCAGGGAAAAGAGAGTCGCTTCCTTGGCTTCCCGTGTCCTGGTTTACCCGCGTCCTGGTCTCCGGGGGCCTGAGCCCCCTCCCTGAGTCCCCTCCGCTGGAGGCAGCCAACAAGTCACGCGGCGGAGCACGTGGCGCGGTGATCTTCGGCCTCCCGGGGGCCCATGCCAGGCCCCAGGGGGCTGGTGTGTAACAGACTCGGGGCGGAAAGCCGGTCCTGGGGAGGGGGTCGAGACCTCTGGGGGGGCTCATGCCGAGAAGAACGGCAGCGCGAGGACTGAGCTCGTTGCTCGAAGGGGCCGGGGGAGGGAAGAGGAGGGGTGAGCAGGGAGGGGACGAGGGTAAAGGAGGGAGGAAAGCGACGAGGACAGAGGGGGGGGATGCTTCAAGGGGGAATCGGTGCGGTGGCGACGCCGGGGCGCCCCAGCGACGTTTCCCTTATCTGAGGCCTGCTGCTCATCGCACCGCGCCTCTCATCTTTCTTTCATCCATGCTGCATCCTCATTACTCCTCTCGCATTCCCGCTGCCCGATTCCATTCCCCCTTCCTCCACTTGAATGTCCTACTTTCCCCTCACACTTCTTCATCTCTCTCTCTCCACCTCCCTCGTTCCTCATGCCTCCTCCCCTCTTTCCCCCTGCCTCATTCATCCTTCCCTCCCGTCTTCCTTCCCCCGTCCTCCCACCGAACCCTGGACGGAGCTCTCTGCCTGCTTGACGAGCACGGCGCCAACATCTCCCGCACCGTCGCATCCGTGACCGTGCTTTCCAGACAGCAGCGCGATGCGAAAATCATCGATGTACCTCGCGGAGCGAGGAGGGGCGTGCACTTGGTCGCGGGAGGCGGAGCAGGAGGGGGAAGGGAAAGGACAAGGAGAAGAAAGAGGAGGGGATCACGAGGATGCCGACCTCATCCCTGCTCCTCCTCCTCCTCCTCTTCCTCCTCACCTTCCGCCTCCTCCTCCTTCTCCTCACAGCGCTCATCCTCCGTGCTACTCCCCAATCCTCCCTCGTCCTCCCTACTCCTCGCCCTCCTCTTCCGGGAGGGACAGGAGTGATGGAAAGAAGGGAGGGGGGCAGAGAGGAACAGCGTGAGAGGGAGAGAAACACAGGAAAATCGATGTGGGGAGAGGGAGAGAGGGAGAAAGAGAGAGAGAGAGAGAGAGAGAGCGGAAGGGATATAACGGGAGACAGAGAGGGGATAGAGAGAGAGAGAGAGAGAGAAAAAAAAACAAAAACGATCCACCCCAAACATACCATTGCGCTCGAAAACACATGTTGCTCGCAAACGCGAGCTCACCGCGACGGCAACCATGGAGGTACGAGGGTTGAGGCAACGCCCCCCCCTACAACCTTAGAACCATAACACAACACCTGTTTTGCGCCGGCTGGAAGGGATCCCAATAATCTAACTACATGTCAAGAAAATCGCAGATCCCACCCGTCACACATAGTGTTCATGTGCATTCCGTGCGCGAGGCAAACCCCGCAGTCAGATTTCGTTGTGGCGTTGTCTTGGGGTCACCTTGAGAACACATCCAGGCCATGCTGGGGTCGTGGTGTCGTGTTCTGGTATTGCTTCCGCCACTTTGGGCCAGCCTGGGGGCCATCACATTGTCATAGACATCTCTTGATCGCCCGTTGCATGTATGTTGGGCAGCCTTCAATTTGCCCTGCGGCCTGCTGGAAGCCACGTCGAGATTATGCGCGGATCACTGGGCCCTCTTGGAGTCGCCCTGAGGGCACGGTGGATTCGCGTCGCGTTGGCGCTGCGGCGACCCCGCCGCGGGCGTTCACGGCTGAACGCCGCCATCAACATCGTGCAACATGGAAAGATCTGGCGACAAAAAAGCCGCCGCTCGTTCCGGGTTGAACGAACCACGCGGTGTCGGCAACCAACGCCAGGCTCGTCGCGACACGAACCTGCCGCACTGTCGCGTCGCATGCGCTCTGAGGCCATCTTAGACACGCACAGGGGTCGCCGTGGGGGTCGCCTTGGCTTCGGCTTGGGTCCTCTTCAGGTCATGCACGTTTCCAGTGAAACGTTTGCTGCTGCTGCTGCTGCCAAAGAATATTGTTTTCCTTCCCGAAGCGATTTTCCACTCCGAGGCCCCCCCTTCCCCCAATCCCCCCTCATCCTGCGTTATCATTTCACGGTTGTCGGGAAGTGGCTCGTGATGCGGGTGCGGGGGCGAACAGTTTCCGAGGCAACGCCCTGTCTCCGCAGCGCTAAAACGGTCTAGGGTTTGGTGCACACTCGCTCATCAAGAGATAGGGCAAACTTGTCATAGCCCGCGCCGCGGACATACTGTCGGCACAACCCACAACAATTTGGCCCGATGCGACATGTCCGATGCAGGCGCCACATGCCATACAGAGGCACATGATACCATCATCCATATGTGGACATACACATAGTACAATGCCGACGCATTCGCGACACTATGAATGACAATAACAACAACGACCATGTGATCATCGCTGTCGGCCGGCAATGTCATACGCGTGTGCCTGCGACACTCCCACTCAACCATGTTCCCCCTCGCTCACGCGTTCCAACCGAGCATATGTCAGAACTTCGAGCTCATCAGACCGCGCGTAAAAAAAACATTTGCATTTAATCAACGGGTGCAAGATAGTAGGAGATGTCCCACGATTCAGCATGACGCTTCCGGCTTGACTTCATACAAACTCAACCGCTATCCATAATTCCAGCTGCAGTGTCAGTAGTCGATCATGTACCACGCTTGGCTTCTCGGTCAAAACCTTGTCACTGTAGCCCCATCTAGCCATTCCATTGTGAGGCAAACTCGCCTGGCCCCTGGCACAAAGACCCGAGGCGTCAGACAATATTATGATGCATGGGGGATCTGACAAGATGGCTCGATCTTTGAATCCGCCTTGCACCACATGCAGAAATTCCAAACGAAGAACCATGATGTTTGTCCACCCTGATCTGTCGGCGGGGTGCCTTCAAACATTCCGGATAATCGACAAAAAGGGGGCGTGGGACCCTCGTAATCGGGATGGACGTGTTGTCAGCCATTTTACAATTAGGAATGCATCGAATTATTCTTGCTTCACGTCTTCCGGGTAAACTTCACTTCCACAGAAAAGGACCCCCCGAACATACTATTGGGTCGCATGCCACGTGGTGGTGCAAGCCGACGTGATTTGGCCCACCTCGATATCTGGTACGAGGTCCAATCTAGGAGTCCCGCGCTCAACCATACGTTTCCGCGTAGCGTTGCAAGGCGGCCCGAAGCAAAGGAACAAACGTATCCTTGCCCTCCCCAAGGCCCAGCCAGACTCAAGACATCGCCGCGCAACGGCAGTGAGTGAACAACTCCAATATCACATCGGTCAATTGTCAAGGAGCCTCGGTGTTACTTGAATGTCGTATAAAAAAAGCTGGTTGTCGACACCTGCTCCTGCTTGGTCCCTAACAAACACGCTCAAAAGAACATCGACCACGTTTTTGTTGTTGTTGTTGATGTTGTTGTTGTTATCTCTCTCTCGCTCGATTATGAAGGATGGGCTGCGCACGCATATTTATATCGCATAGCGTCACGCTCAACAATAATAGAAACTACTCGAACAGTGGGTCCCCGCATGATCTGCCATCGTGCATTTGCGGACGCGTGGAATTGTACAATGTTGTTTCTCCAACTTAGAATCTGTCACGCCACCATCCTGCGAAACCTCCAATGCTTTGATCCCCCCTCCCCAGTCTTCCCCGGAGTACCTGGCAATTAGACGACCAGCCTAAACAGACGGCAATTCCCAAACAATGCCCCCGAAAAAAAACAACAGGACCTCCAGAGGGCCCCGATACGCCAACGCACTTTGACATACGACGCCTGTGTTCCCTGAGCGGTCAAGTGGAGTGCTGGATCCAGACTCGGGGAGGCGGCCTTGCCACTTGGCTGCTGTGGACGGTCAGATCCCGAGCCGCGCGGGCGGGCGACATCGCCTCCCCTGGCCTCCCGCTGCCGTTTCCTGCCGCTGCCTCCCGTGGTCCCCCATTGCCGTCCCGATCCCTTCATCCCCACCCCTCTAATCCCTGTTCGTGTTCCCCTGATCCCTCTCCTGCGCTCCTTCATCCTATCCCTGCCCCTATCCTCTATCCCTGTGGACGCGCGACCCGTCCCCAATCCACGCGCCTTAATCCTGAATCCTGGCTGCGGCTCCTCGACCGAGGGGCCCCACGGAACTTCAAGAGGCCGCCACGACCCGCCCCCTCACGTGCGGACGCCGCGACCCCCCGAGCGGCCCTGAGGCGGCCAGACCAAGGCCCAGTACCAGCCCGAGGCTGCTCAGGGAAAGCCCAAGACGGCTCCAGGAACAGGAGCAGGAGGAACAGGAGGAGCAGGAGGAACAGGAGGAGCAGGAGGAGCAGGAGGAGCAGGAGGGGCAGGAGGAGGAGGAGGAACTCGAACGCGTGAGCCTCGGAGGTCGAGGGTCGGGCGCCCGCCCAGCCCCCTCATCAGATGAGGGGCGCGACCTCGCCGAGGGGCCTCACGACGTCGAGCGCCTCGCCCTCGAGCTCCCCGTCGCCAAGGCGACGAGCCTCTTGAACTCCATCCCCCTGGAGTTCACCTCGAACGAATGCCCGTCTGGGGCCTCTCGCCTCCTGCGCAGCGAGCAGGAGGAGGAGGAGGAGGAGGAGGAGGAGGAGGAGGAGGAGATCCCTTCTCAAAATCGTGCCCCCACTTCGGCACCACGCGCGTCTCCTCAGCGCTCCTACTACCAGCTGCGCGGACGGAGCGCGCGAGCCCCCCGATCGGTTCCCGAGCAACACAGGGACCGCCGGCCTCTGCAGCCCCTCGCCCCCCCCGCGTGCCCCGAGCCGCCGGCTCCGCCGCGCTCTGTCTGGCGGGCTCCGAAGGAGGACGGAAGGGGCCTACTCTCACGCGGGTCGTCGTCTCCTCCTGCGCCTCCGCGGCCCCATTCCCTCCGTCAACTCATTCGCTCCCCTCGCCTCCTCCACGGCTGCCATTCATGATCGGCCTACGTTCACGTCCCTCTCCCCCTCCTCCCCCTCCCCCTCCCCCTCCTCCTCCTCCTCCTCCTCCTCCTACTCCTTCTCCTCCTCCTCCTCCTCCTCCTCCTCCTCCTCCTCCTCCTCCTCCGCGCAATGTCACCCTCCTCATTTCTACTGCTGATGCTCCCCGTTACCTTCCTCAACGCCATCCTCATCAACATCCATCTCCCCATCATCCCCTCTTAGCCTTCGTCATCTCCTTCGTCCCCTCGACATCTTCCCATTCCTCCTTTTCTACATTTCTGCTTATCTCCTCTCTCAACCTGTATCTCCATCTCTCAATTTTCCTCCCATCGCCTCGCCTTCATCCACCGCGTCGTTATCCCAGAACCTCCCACCTTCTCCTCTACCATCTCATGTTTCTCTCAGTTCTCCTCCTCTCTACCTCCTCCTCCTCCTCCTCCTCGTCCTCCTCCTCCTCCTCCTCCTCCTCCTCCTCCTCCTCATGATCACCCCCTCCCCTCCTCTCTCACCATATTTGGACCAATTTCCTCCTCCTCCTCATGATCCTCCTCGTCCTCCTCCTCCTCCTCCTCTCCCTATCTCCTTCTCCTCGTTCCCATCCTAGGGCTCCTCTTCCTCCCCGTCCCTACCCCACCCCCATCCCCCTCCATCTCTTCTCCTCCTTGCTGGGGGTAGGGGGGGCCAGGGGGCGCGCCCGAAGAACTGCTGGTAGTAGGGCGCCCCCGCGTGGTGCGCGCGGTGCCGGCGGACCCCCGAGAATAGCCTCCTCGCAACGTTCGGCGATGGGCTCGCGCTGTGGCTCTCCGTCAGCATCCACGTCACCACCACCTCTCGGGTGGCACCACTTACATTCCCACCCCCCTGCCCCGAGAAGGACAATGCGTACCATTGGGCATCCAAGACACACGGGGACTTTGTCCGCGCAAAGACCGTGGCACGCAAAGTGGGACGAGAGTGGGGTAGCAAAGGTAGAGACCTCCTAGATGCTAGATGGGGTCCGAGCAGATGGGATCGGAGGATCGAGCCGCATCGCCAATCCATCGCCGATGCATCGGCCATGCATCTGCGATGACTCGGCGACGTCGACGATGCATCTCGGGAATCGGCTTGAAGAAATTCCGACTCCACATCAAGCCGCATCGTAGATGCATCTTTTTATTTTTTTACAGCCGCAGGCGGAGGCGCCGACGGCGAGCGGTCACGGTCGGGCTGCGGCCGCGACTAAATTCCCGGGCGAGCGCGGGGGCCGCGGATCAGGCGGCGGGGGGGGGGCAGCAACCCAGGGCGTCTGAGAGGCCAGTCGTAGATACATCGGCGATGCGAAGCGATCCATCGACCCTGTAAGAACGGTTTTTTGAAGGCAGATCTGCCTTCAAAAGAACGGTTTTTTGAAGGCAGATCTGCCTTCAAAAAGCCGTTCTTACAGAGTAGACCAGTCTTTCCTCCTTGCAGATTGAAGGCAGATCTGCCTTCAAAAAACCGTTCTTACAGAGTAGACCAGTCTTTCCTCCTTGCAGATTGAAGGCAGATCTGCCTTCAAAAAACCGTTCTTACAGAGTAGACCTGGTCCGACCCCATCTGGGAGGCCGAGAACAGGGGAGGCTGCCGAAGCAGCTCCCGCAGCTGGTCTCCCAAGGTCGGGGGGCGCCCACGCCTCGCGAGGCAGGCGCCCCGCAGCGGGGGGCCGAGACCAGCCGCATGCAGCAGGTGACTTCGTCTCCCGCCCTAAAGCAGGGCTAGGATCGGGATAAATCGCTCCAGAGCGTTCCGGAGCGCTCTCAGAGCGTTCCGGAACGCTCTGGACCGGCCGCGGCGCCCAGTACATCCTCCAAACCTGCCGATTCTCAGAGATTTCGAGTTATCCCGATCCGATTTTGTCCCGATCTTCGCGTCGCTTTACGCCCCCTTCCCTACTCTGGCTGGGGCAATCATCGCCCCCACCTTTGGATCTGCTGGGGGGGTTGGGCACATGCTGTCAGAACGGGTGAAGGGGTGTTGGAGGAGGAGGGGGAGGAGAAGAAGGAGGGGGAAGAGCAGGAGGAGGAGGAGGAGGAGGTGGAGGAGGGGGGGGGGATGGGCAAGCTCCGTCGGAAGGTTAGTCGCCCACCCCTCGATTAATATCCCACCCAGAGTATCCACCACCGCTCGTTCGACCCGAACCGAAGGGTCTGGCCGACCGCTGGGTCGATCAAAACACCCGATCGCACAGTCAGACCAGAGATCACAACGCTCGTCGTGGGGACGACGGGCCGGACCCGCGCCGACCATCGCGACCACGACTGCGTGGGCACCCGATCAGAGTGGTGTGTGATTGCCGATCGCGTGACCAACTTCTGCTAAGACCCCCTCGTTGTGCACGATGCGTGCCAGACGCGACTTCGCTCCCCCCCAAGGAGTGTGACGCTGCACGATGATATTCACCAGCACCTGCAAAGCCCCGTCAGAGGGCGAGTGGGTTAGCACGTCCCGAGCCCGAATGTCCAGCTTCTTCAGGTGGTGGTACTGGTGCGAATCCCACCCGAGGTGATGGGCGGCTAGGTGGACGAAGCTGAAGATAAAATCGTAAGCCCAAATGCCAGCGCACACCTCACAGATCAAATAAACCGCGCCCTGGAATCCATCGGGCCAGCCATCCGGGATGTCCTCAACAGCTGGGACCAACCGCACCCAGACACATATGCCAGCCCAGTACAGGACGCCCGCGACAAACAGCATATTGACAGAGCCAGGGGCGACGAAATCGGGCCCTGGCCTCAGCGTGGAAATGCGGCCCTCCTCTGGGGAAAACAAAAGGTATCGATACCGCTATTCCACAGACCTCTCCTGGGGTGCGTTCTGACCAGAATCCCACCAGCCCTGTGGGCAAAGGTGGTCTAACGAATTCTTTCTTTCCTCTTGCATGAACCTCTTGCTTTCCGGGAGGTTTACCTGCCCCCTCCAAAAGTTGTTTGTTGGGGGAACGCGGGGCGTTAGAGCGTCCGCGTCCAAGATGGCCCAAGACGGCCCCAAGAGGGCGTTCGATGCTCCCGGCTTGCCCCCCAAATGGCTCAAGATAGCACGCGGTGGTTCAAGATAGCTTCCGACATACCTCCAAGAGGCCTGACGATGGCCACAAGACGGTTTCAGTTGCTCTCGGAGCCCCCTCAGGACCCCCCCAAGGGGCCCAACTCCTCCAACAACCAGAAGAGCATCAATTATTTGTGCCTTCTCGCCGTGTCGCTTCCGATGCGATGTTTGGAGCCTCAAGGCGGCCCCAAGATGGCCCAAGAGAGACCCAAGAGGGGTCCAAGAGAGAGTCCCAAGAGGGCTCCAAGAGGCGACTTTGAGGGCTCCGTCCTTGTCCTCGTTGTCCTCCTCCTCCTCCTCTTCCTCCTCCTCCTCGTCCTCGTCCTCCTCATCGTTTTCGTGTTCCTTTTCCTCTTCTTCGCCTCGTCGTCGTGGTCGTCGTCGTCGTCCTCCTCCTCCTCCTTCACTCACTCCCACGCGGGCCCCAGGGATGGCCCGAAGAGGCCCTCCTAGGCCACCCACTTGCTCCCAGAGATCTCTCTGTTCACCCTGGTTGCCCTCTCTGTCTCACCATATGTGTCTATCCGTCCCGTTTCCCGTCAGCTCTCATGGGCAGGGTTTCCGAAGGGGCTGGTGGGGATGAGCGAAGCGTGAAGAACTTCGAGGCGAATCCAGCGGTGGCAACGGTGGCATCATGGTGAAAACGGGGCAAGGGTCATGTTGACCCCATCGTGCTTAGGAACCAAATCCCATCAATAACTTCGAGCACCCAGAAAAATGTCGAAAGAGTGTCGAACGAGTATCGCCTCCCAAGCCCGACACGTGAAAACCCTCCAATCTGGGTGCTTCCTCGGTGCTTGAAGTTCCTTCTGGTGATCAAGGCTACAATAGGTTGGAACATCATAAGTAGGAAAAAACCAAACCTACCTCGCTTTTGACCACCCTCGCTTCCAAGAGATACCAAACGATGCCAAATTGCAGCCTGTACTGGTCAGGCCGCTTGACGAGGAGGCGCGTGGTATGGCTTGGCTTTGCCTGGAAGCGAAAGCGGGGTAGGTAATTCACGCTCTGAATAAGGCAAGGGCGGTTACCTTGCCCTCCCCTGGTCCTCGCCGAGGCCCATGTCGCGTTCCCTCTTGTCGAAGATCGCGATCGCCACGGCGAAGGACAGCGTGGCCACGGCGGGCTCCAGCCACCAGGACCGGAGAGCTTCGCCGAGACCCTTGTGAGGGGCAGCGCCATAGGGTGAGGTTGGGCCTGTCCCCCTGCATGGGGGATTTGGGACAAGCATCTAGAGATAGCCAAAAAATACCCAGACAATGCTCCAAAGTCCTCCAAAAATAGTCCCCGGACTATGTTTTGACTATTTTTGGATTCTCCCCCTGTAGAGGGACAGGCCCGACTGAACGCTAGGGGGGGTCCAGCTCGGGGGGGGGGGGCACACAGAGCTGCCATCGGCGACACGTCGACGATATAGGTCCCCGACGGCAAATCGGTCACGTTCCTCTGGGCGATCCGTGGCCGATTGGGGGGCCGATGCGTTCCCCAGGAGCCGGTCCCCCCCCCACTCCTGCTGCCCCGGACCCGACGAGCAGGAAACGGCGGAAGCACAAACTTTCGACGCTCCGCGCAGAGTCTCCTTGGATCGGCGCTGGGAACCCCCTTCCTGGCGCGCGGAGCGCGCCAGGGGTGGCGCCGGAGGCGCCGCCGAAGGGAGCCCAGCGCCGATCCAAGAAATCCGCGCGGAGCGTCGAACGTTCATGTCTATACAGAATTTTCTTGCTTCCTCGATGGCCTTGCCCCGCTGCAGCTCCAGCATCAGCCAGGCCGCGCAGAAGGCAGCGAAACCGACGGCCCCATTGATGGTCCCGTGCATCCCTGCCTCGGGAGCGGGACTCGCGGCTCGAAGATGGCTGCCAAGGCCTCATGATGAGCGCGTTTTCCACCACCACCACCATAGGTTGGATGGGGCGAAGGGGGAGGAGGAGGAGGAGGAGGAGGAGGAGGAGGAGGAGGAGGAGGAGGAGGAGGAGGAGGAGGAGGAGGAGGAGGAGGACCCCCCCCTCCAACTTATGGTGGTGGTGGTGGTGGAAAACACGCTCATCACCTCAGGCACGCTCGCGGCGTGAGAACATCGCGACGAGAAGCTTTTTCGGCTGTTTTCGGCCCGTCGGGTCCCTCGCCGGGCCCTGCAGACCGTCAACAAAACCACTCGGGAGGAAGCACCGGTCCTGGGGAAGGGGTCGGGGCCCCCAGGGACCCCGCACCGAAAACGGGACACCGCATGTCTGGGGCAAGGGCTGCAAAGGGCGGCCTGGGCTGGTTCGCACACGACGGAACGAGCTCGGCGCAGCCGCGTGCTGCGATCTGAAGCAAGATGGACGAGGATCGATCGGACATCTGCCCGCCACAAGCGAGCCGAAGCTCACCCACCGGCCCCCCTTGTGGGGGCCACGAGGCTGCGTGGACAAAGTTTCTTCTTCCAGCAGCCAGTCCTCATTCCTCTGTTCCAGCGTGTCAAATGCTGCAGATCCTTGCTCCTGTCAAGGGGCCCAAGGACACACACAAATCAATACACACAAATAAAATGATTCCCCATATTTTCCTATATTTTCTGTGTTTTTGTCTTCCCCCCCACTTCCCATATTTTCCCATATTTTCCTGGGAATCGACGATTAATTGTGTCTGTGTGTTTCTTTCCCTCCTGATCCTGGCTCCACGGCTGTACAGCTGCAGCATGCGGGAGACCCCCGGCCGAACCAGGGATGCATCACCACCCAAGAAGTCAGGTCCTCGGAATCTCTGATCGGCATGAGGCACAAAGGAAAAACTACAGATGCGCGCTCCTGGGACAACAATCTATAATACATTGTTAGAGGGGCACAGGGACACACACACATAAACAAACACAAATCCCAGGAGTCCCCATATGTTTCCATGTTTTATGGTTTGCCGTCTTCCCCCCCTTCCCATATTCTCCCATCCTCTCCTGGGACCGACGATTGTTCGTGTCTGTGTCTTTCCCCCTCCGTGAAGTGCAGCAGATGCGCGATCCCATGGCCACAACCCGTCGTAAACCACTCCGCGCGAACGCCCCCGAGGCTGATTGCAAGCAACTCGTGGCTGCAAACATCAGACGATACCGCGGGCCCGTATCGGAAGGGTGCGCGATGAGGCTGCGAGGGGCGTCGGAAGGCCACGCCGCCACCGTGCGGGCGGGGCGCGGCCAGCGAGAGCGGCCAAGGACGGACCGGGGAGGCAAGGACTTAGTGGGCCCCGGAAACGGCAGGGCCGTTTGTTCACCGTTTCCGAAAAGGTGCCCCTTGAAAATGGAAACAACAAAAAAACGGCGACCAGAAACAGCTCCAGAATTGGAGCCTGAGCGGGAACCCGTAAAAGAACGGCGACGGGACCGGTAACAAAACCGGCGTCCGAACCAGCAAAAAAACGGCAAAACGGAACCGGTAAAAAAAGGCCCTGTCGTTCCCAGGGCCCACGGAGGGCAAGGATGCAAAGGGTACCCATGGGAAGGTTGCCCATCCTTACTGTGCTTAACGGGCCAAGAACGGTACAACATAAACTCTTCCGTCGCCGGGGGTGCCTGTCCCAGGGCGGCTGAAAAGTGTATGCCTTGACGTGCCGCCGTGCGAGAAAAAGCTTGCCAGCCACCCTGGGACAAGCGCCCCCGATAGCGAAGAAGTTGTACTTTATACCGTTCCTCGCCCGTTCATGTGCGGGTTGACTGTGCGCGCTCCCTGGGCCACAATGCCTAGTTTGCTGACTCCCGCCTGCCTGGGGCGAACAGGTGCGTGAAACTCAAACTTCACCCTCCGTGGCCGCCATGCTTAAGATACCCAAGGTGCCTTTAATGAAGGGGCCCTGGGACACACAAAAAACACCAATAACAGGATTCCCCATATTTTTGCATATTTTCTGTGTTTTTGTCTTCCCCCCCACTTCCCATAGTTTCCCATATTTTCCTGGGAATCGAAGATTCATTGTGTCTGTGTGTGTTTCCCCCTCCTGGTTGAAGATTGTTCCCAAGGGGCGGCTCTAGCACGCCGGAGAGGCCTCCCAAAAAGAGCACCCACCCCCAAAGGTAGCCTCAGAACCGCCGAGGACGCCGCAAGGCCGGGAGCAGGGGGAGAGCAGAGCAGAGCGGAGCGCCGGAAGAACGTCCCGGAAGGACGGCCCTATGAGAGCCCGGCGGAGGCGCCGGAGCGCCAGGAGGCTCATTCGTTGTAGCTGCCAGAGTGAAGGAGGCCGGGAGCAGGGGGAGCGGAGGGGGAAGGCGACTTGAGGGGGGCAGCGGGATGAGTACGGTGATGGCATTGGATAAAGAAGCCTTCGAGCTTCACGCCCAGTCGGAATCCCTCCAGTATTCCAGGCAACAAGAGGGCGGAGGTGAGGGTGAAGGAGAACGGGAAGGTGGAGTGCGATGACCAGAACGGGGAGGCGAGGAAAAAAAGCGTAAGGACCATAAGCATCACATCAAGAAATCGGATCGAACCGGAAGGTGCTGCGGATCGGGCAGCACCGGCACGGAATCGGCATCAAAATCGGATCGGATCGGCTGCGCCGGGATATTCAACAAGGCCATGCAAACGTCGGAATCCAATCGGATCGAGCCGGCCGGAATCACTCCCAAGACACCCCCAAAACTTCGTGGGGGTTCTTGAGCACTTCTTGGGGGCCTCTGGTAACCTTGGGAGCGTCCGATCCCGACCTCCCCGAATATGCCTCTCCCATCGTGGGGGTCGTCGTCCAGGGTCGGCGGCACCAGCCGCAAGGCCTTAGCAATATCGGAATCGAATCGGATCGAGCCGGCCAGAAGCGATACCGAATCGGATCGACATTAGGGGAACAACAAGAAGTGGCATGAACCTGGCGCGCGGAGCGCGCCAGGGGCGGCGCCGGAGGCGCCGCCGGGGGGCCCCAGCGCCGATCCGAGACATCCGCGCGGACCTCCGAGTCTTTCTGCTCATGCCACTTTTCGTTCCCCTGATTGGCCCCTGATGTCGATCCGATTCGGTATCGCTTCCGGCCGGCCCGATCCTCAGCACTGTCGGAATCGAGCCGGATCGAGCCCGCCGGAAGCGATACCGAATCGGATCGGCATGGGCCCCAAGCGGCGTGGGGAGGCGGGGCCGGCACAACAGGGAGGGCCGCGCGCGCGCCCGGCCCAGCAGGTCCTCGGGCCTCCTCCTTTCCGGTGGCCTTTGCCGCCCCTGTGGGAGGCCGCAGAGCGGCTGTCATCGTCGCGTGCTCAAGGAGGGGAAGGCCACTCGTGACAAGAATGAAGGGGCCCTGGGACACACAAATGAATAGACACAAGTGACAGGATTCCCCATATTTTATCATATTTTTGCTGGTTTTTGTCTTCCCCCCCCACTTCCCATATTTTCCCATCTTTCCCTGGAAATCGACGATTCATTGTGTCTGTGTGTTTTTTCCCCTCCTCAAAGATGGAGAAGGAGCTCGGAGGGCGGAACCCCGCAAACAGGAGCCTCGGATGACGTGAGGGGGGGGCCGGAGTACGACATCGGGGAGCAGTTCTCATGGCGCCCGCAGACGCGAATAGGAGGGAGAATCCGCCGCTGCTCTTTCTGCTGGTGCCGCCGGTGCTAATGTTCCTGCTGGTGCTGCCGTCGCTGTTGCTGCTGCTCCCGCGCCTGGTGTTCCTCCTCCCCCTCGCCCCCTCCTACTGGACTTCTTCTTCTTCTTCTCGCCTCTTCTTTTTGTTTTCCTCCTCCTTCTCCTCCTCCTGCTCCTCCTCCTCCTCGCATCCACCATGTTGAAATTTCAACCGGCGGAGGACTGCCAAAAAAAACAACTACCGGCGCTCACGCCTGGCCAAAATCCCATCAAATGGCCCTGGGCCCCTCCTTGCCATCGCTCCGACGTGCATTCCCCGTGCATTGTTCGGTTTCGTGCTGTGATTTTTCACCAGATGATCCAGGATCCTCCTCAATGGTCCTCGCCGAGGAAAGATGCACACGTCCGAGCGATGCCAAGCCTCTCGGAGTCCATACATCCTGGGCACTCTTGGAGCCTCCGAGGTGCCTTTTCCAGAGGCCCGGGGGGGACGGTTGAGGGTCCACGCTTCCCACGTGTCCCCAGATGACTCCTCGGGAGCGCGCTGGGTCTCTCCTCTCCACGGGGGTCGATTGGACCGTCTTGGAATCTTTCGGGGCCAGCCCAGCGTGCCCAAACAAACAACCCGAAGACCTGCCAACAGAAAGGCCCCAGGCGCTGGAAGGGTGATCCTAGTGAGCCCCAAGTGGCCCACGCGAGGGGCCCAGGAGGGATTGAGGGAGCTGTGGAGCCCAGGATGATCCAGAATGGCACTTGAGAGCGCCGGCAGCACCCCCAAGAGGGCACAGCGTGCCCCAAGAGGCCGCGGGCGGCATCCAAAGGGCCGCTTCACAACCCAAGCACGGTGGCAGGACGGGCCGACGGCTCCCTGAAACATGCAACGAGAACGACACAAACACAACCGCCATGTTATCTACATTCGATTATCTCTTGCCCTCACAGACCCCCGGTCGTCTTTGGTGTTCATCTACATTTGGAAGGCTCGTCTTGCCCGCTGGATGGGATCAACCCTACCTTCATGCTTCGCCTGCGGTCGCGGGGGGGGGGTGGACGTCCATGATGGCCTCGGCGAGAAAGCCAACATCATCGATGTTACAACACAGTTTTGGCCCACAATTGGCCTCCTGGGGGAGGGCGCTACTTGGAACAAACTGGAACCCTCTGTATTTGATCGATCACGTCCAAGATGGCCCCAAGATGACCTCCGAAGCTCCCAAGAGTGCCCGGAGAGGCGCCCAGGAGCCCGAAATCCGCCTCATTTTCCTCTTCCTCCTCCCATCTCCCTCATCCCTCGTCATCCTGCCCCCCTCGGCTTCCCAGCCTTAATTCCACTGCGTACCCCACATGCCTGATCAAGGCAACCCGCATGGGCATCGTTTCTGGATGGGCTGGTGGGGTTATTGTTTTCATCAGCGGCCGCGGGCGAGCGCACCGGCGGCGGGTCCAGTCAAAGCGGGGCACGCAGCGACGTTTTAAACTAAAGCAACGGAGGGCGGCCACACCTAGAGCGGCTAACCGGGGCCTCACGCAGCAGCTCAGCGGCGGACCGGCGAGTGGAGGGGGCAGCTGAAACGGAGTCGTACTGCCAGCGTGCAGGTATGCATGGCGTCGGAAGCGCCAGGAAGTCGGGACAAACGACGACCAGGGTCAGAAGCCGAGGGATTTAAGCAGGGGCCCGGCGGGTGGGGGGACAGCTGGAGCGGAGTCGAACTGCCACCGTGCAAGTATGCAAAGCGTCGGACACCAACTGGTGGGGTTACGCGAAGCGTCGAGCATAGCCTCGCAATAGCCCAGGGCCCCAAGAGCCCCCCAAGACAGCCCTGTGACGGACGCAGCTTTGACGCCAAGGCTCCCGCCCCCTGACGGACACGACGTCCATGCCAAGGCTCCAAGGAGCCACAGGGGCGGGAAAGCACTTGCGAGGCGAGCCGCTGAAGCACCACGTTTTAATCGCCAAGGCCCCAATAACGAACACGGTCACCAATAGCTATGAGCGCAAAGGCTTCCGGAAGCTACCGGTGACGCAAGTGGCTCTTAAGGCTCCCAAAAGCTCGCGGCGACATGGAAAAAACTCGTGACTCCAGAGCTCCCGAGAGCGAGCGGAGCCATGAATATTCTCGGCCAACTTTCCGGAGCGACACCGTGGATCCAGAACGGTTGATTCTTGGACGTTCTCGCGCCTCGCGGTGCCTTCCAGCAGCTGCGCTTCGCCGTGGGCGCTCCCTGGATGCCTGGATCGTCCCGCACAGCCGACCGAGGCCTGAGATTGTGGACCCGCGACCACTCCGAGGAGAGATGGCGTGTTCGACCTGCCGCTGCCCTCCCGACACCTTACCGCCAGCTGCGTCTCGTCGACGGGCCATCCGTTTCTTCACCAACCTGTGGGGCGCTAGTCCGACATGACCTCGACCGCCCTCACGGTCATTTCGTTGCGTCTCACGGCGTGCCCCTGGAACCCCTCACCATCAAAACCAAGACCCTACTCACGGTTACCACTCTCGCCCTCCCGTGGCCCCCCCTTCCCGTATCACCGTCAGCCCCTCCGCGGTGATTTGAACCCCTGCCACCTGCCACGGCCCCATCCTCAACCATAGACTATAACGAACCCCTCTGGAGATCTTCGCTTTCAGCGCCTCGTGGTCATGACCTTCCCCCGCTCCAGTCGCCCTCGCATGCTCCTTGGGAGATGGAGTCGCCCTGGTCCGTCTGCATCGAAGCCCAGCCCAGTGTGTCCCTGCTCGGACCAGCTGTTTGCCCAACCCGACTGCGGTCGGGGCGCCCAACTTCCTGCATCGACGGCGACACCATCCTCATCCTCCTCCTCGTCCTCCTCCTCCTCCTCCTCCTACTACTACTCCTCCTGCTTGCATCCGCCCGTTCTTCCCGCTCCTCCGCATGCCAAGTATCTTTCAACGACCTTGCTTTCCTTGTCTGGGCGAGTCCGCCTCAATATGTCTGTCCTCTTGTTGGCTCCTGCTTCGTCTGCTCTTACCCTTTTCCTTCCTGCTCCCCCCGTCCTGCTGGTCGCCGCGTCCCACCTCTTCATCTTTCCGCAGGTGCCCAAGAGTACACGGACGCAGGACCAAGAGTTGAGACCAAGCGAGGCAGTTCCGAAAATCCCTGTGGGCGTACGTATTATATATACATACATATATATATATACCTTCACAATCTACACATGACAACGTGCGTGTGTATAGGTGTCTGTGTGGTCGCTTCTGTTCACACTTGTTGTGGTAACCCTCTCTCTCTGTCTCTTGCCGTCGAGCCTGATCCCCTGAATTTCCCCCCGCCCCAGTCCGTCCACTTTGTCCTATCTGTCGAGCATCCCCACCCCCCACTAAAGTCTCTCCTCTCTCCAGCGCTTCCACCAGGCCTCCCATCTCCCTTCATGGATCGCAAACTCTGATTTAATGACGAACTCGCCCTCGTTGTTGTCCCAAGCAGCCGTGCCCGACTTGATGATGGACCCATTTTCCACCACCACTGCCGTGGGACGGGGGGGGTCCTCCTCCTCCTCTTCCTCCTCTTCCTTCTCCTCCTCCAGCTCCTACCTATGGTAGTGGTGGAAGATCGGCCCATTGTGACTTGCTTGAGGCCGCGACCAGCCAATTTTCTGAGGCCAATGTGCCCTACTGGCAGCTCCTCAGAGACTGTCAGCCTGCCACGGCGGCAGCTGTCGCAAACGCAGGCAGCGGAGCTCCATCCCTTCCTCCATTCCCCCTGCGTGCTCCCTCTCCTGCCCATGTTTCTCTTCCTCGTTCCACAATCCCACTCCCCTCCATCCCTCCCCCTCCCTCAATCCCCTCCACCATGCTTCACTCACCTAACCTTCTCCCTTCCTCAAACCTCAATCGGCGGAGAGCCTGGGGGGGACGTGAGAAGGGGCGGGCCTTCTCAGAAGGCTCGAAGTCATCCGGCCTTCTGAAAAATTGTCCAAGCCTTTCCCGAAGACTCAAACAACTTCTCAGATGGCGCAAATCTTTCTGACAAAATCCGCCGCCGTCTGAGAAGGCCGTCTCCTTCACATTTCTCCCCCTCGCTCGCCGCCGGCTAAAAACCCGCCTCTTCACCATCCTTCCCTCCCTTGCCTGCTTCCCCCATTCACTCCTTCCCTCCATGCCTCCAGGCATCCCTTCCCTCTCTCCGAAAGGCGGGGGGGTCCAGGGGAACGCAGAAAAAGCATGCCTCCAGCCATCTCTCCGCCCGCGCGGAGGGCTGCGAGGTTCGCCTCCCGTCTCCAAGGCGCACGGGCCAGGGCGGAGAGCCGCAAGCTAAGGTGCAAGAAGAGGAGAAGCAGGAGAAACGGGAGATTTGAACGTGTAGATCGTCCTTCTCCGTTTGGATCGTCACCGGTTGACTGAGAGTATCGATTGCTCGCTTCTCCTCCCCACGCACCGCCTGGTTGGCGCATGCTCCGCGCCCTTTTGGGCCCTCTTCTTTTCCAGTACTATTGGCCTGCCTCAGTCAGCTGCGGCAGCCAGGCCTAACTTGTTTCGCGCTCCGCTAGATCGGCGTGCCTTTTCATGCACGCTCCAAGTGTTCGCCTCAAGTCTGCGCAACGCCAAAAAGGAAACGGGAGGCCGATGGGGATCTTCAATACTATGTCATGCGGAACTTCACTAGCACCCGTGGTGGTGGCCAAGTGCGTGGTCGCACCTGTCACGCCTGGCAGCACAAGGTTATTACTGGGGCTGCCTCGAATTTGGCCAACTATGGTCTCGTCTGGCATTGAAGTCAGCACCGTCATCGCGGATTCTCCCTACCCCAATGAGCGTATCGGCGGGTGCATATGGCAGTCAGACCGGACATGTACGTTCCCTGCGAATCCCTGAATTTCAACAAAGCTGGGCACTACAATCTGATCTCGCCGCCACAGCCGCAAGGGCGAGGAGGGGACGAACAAGAGGAGGAGGAGGAGGAGGAGGAGGAGGAGGAGGAGGGAGAGGAAGAGGAAGAGGAGGATACGAGAGGGAGACTTCCACGGCAGCACCACGCGAGCCTCGTCTGGCGCAACCTCTCCACTGCGACTTTGGGAGGAGCAGCGAGCAAATGAAATCAAAGGACACACTGAAGGAGCGCAAAGCGTTCCAAAAGTCTGGTGCCGCAGGGTCCTCTGGGAAGGAGGAGCAAGAGAGGACACAGGATGGGGAGAAGGAGGAGGATGGAGGAGGAGGAGGAGGAGGAGGAGGAGGAGGAAGAGGAGTAGGAGTAGGAGTAGGAGTAGGAGTGGGAGTCAAGCTAGCCAGCTCGAGCGAGTCAAGCATGGCATGCCCAGTCCCACCCGCCCTCCCACAACATAAGAAGCAAAGCTGGCACAACTGGGGGCCGAAGTCGCACCGGCCAGCCGGTTTGGTACAGCTGATGCGGCCGCGATGGCGGTTGCCGACGGGAACTGGCGAGCGCGTGTTGAATGCCGCGCACGCATTGCCAGACGAGTCGAGAATGGCCCGGTACACCGCAGGAAGCCAGAGGTGGCCGTGTCGAGAACGGCCCGGTAAGCCGGGTCCCATTCCTGCCATGCATTTTGCGACGTGGACGACAGGACGTCCATGCGACGGTGCCAATGACGGCGACGACTCTAGAAGGATTTGAGCATGCGCTCGCGGCGACGCGCGCGCATGTCGCCCGCGTGGTATTTTTTGCACAGGATTCGCGGCCTGGGTGCATGACAGAGCATCGCGAGTGCACCGCGCGATGACGTGAAATCGCTGGATTTGACCGAATTCTTAAGATTCCTATGGTTTTCCTATGATTTCAGCAAGAGAGCCCGGGCAGGAAATGTGTAGAATGTTTGTGAAAAAGCATTGGGTTTTTGATGTTTTTATGTTGAAATGCTTGCAAACACACGGTGTTCGGTAGGATTCTGACATGAACGCGCGCGTGTGCTCTTTGTGGTATTTTTTGCAATGGATTATCGCCGTGGACGACAGGACACGTCCATGTCGAGAGGAAAAATTAAGACAAATGTTGATTTTGTATTGATTTTGACAGGTTAGGATGGGACCACCCGGATGGGGCCCCTATCTGCCGGCCTGAGGGGGGAGTAGGAGTATATTCGAATAAGGAATAAGGATAGGAGTAGTAGGAGGATACGAGAGGATACGTGAACATAATGACGAGGAGGAGGATGCAACGAAGAAATAACGGAAGAACAGCGGCATCACAGAAAAAACGGTTCGCCATGGGGGGCCACCCTCCCAGGGCGGCTGGAGAGCTTCTCCGTGCCCATGCGGTGGCACGCAAGGGCACGAGCTTCCTGCCCGCCCTGGGGACACGCGCCCACGGCGAGAGAGAGCTTGTCGCGTACCGCTCTCCGCCCGCCGATTCTGGAGGCCGCTGGCGAGTCTTGGGCCCCTGAATTATCCGGGGCAATTCGGGCCCGGGGTAACCCAGGCTTGGATTCCCGACAAGAAAACCCGTTAACCCTGACCCGAGTTGACATGAGGATTCGGGGCTCTGGGCGCCCGAGTTATCCGGGGTAACTCGGGCCTGGGGTAACCGGGGCTCGGATTCCCAAACAAACGAACTCGAGTTAGCCCTGATTCGGGGCTCTGGGCGCCCGAATGATTCGGGGTAACTCGGGCCTGGGGTAACTCGGGCTCGGATTCCCGAAGAAACGAACCCGAGTTAGCCCTGACCCGAATTACCCCTCATGATCCGGAGTTCTGAGAGTCTGACCTGGCTGGGCCCCCCAAAACATCCGCCAGGAGAGGGGATGAGGCCAAATCCGCTCAGCGTCGGTTCCCGGACCCCTCGCAGGGCCCATCCGGTGCAGATCCCCGACGCGGACCCACTTCCGACGGCCCCATGGCCCGAGAACGGCCCCCAGGGGCCGAGAATGGGCAGAAGCCTTCCCGAACCCAGCGCCTCGAACCAGGCCCCCCCCCCCCCCCCTCCCTTCTCGCTGGAACCAATGCTCGGCGAACTCAGACCCCCTGGCGACTCCAACTCGGGCTCGCGCCTGTTGAGCGCAAGGCCTGGCCGTCCAGGCATCCCTATAAGCCTACCGCGTAATGTCCTCAAAACCCAGCTGTGTTCCAGTAACAGAAACAGTGCTCTCAGAGCATAGGCCCGATGTACTGGAACAAGACAGCACCAGCCGTACGTGCCCCAAGAACATTACGTGCAGACTGGTGGGTCCATGGGCGGGCCAGGACGCTTCGCCACTCCCTGAGCCTGGCGACCTTCCCACCGCCGTTCCGCGTCGCACGCCCGCCCCCGCCCCAGGGACGCCGCGGCTCTGGGCGGAGGAGGAGGAGGAGGAGGAGGAGGAGGAGGAGGAGGAGGAGGAGGAGGAGGAGGGGGAGGGGGAGGAGGAGGAGGAGGAGGAGGAGGAGGAGGACGAGGAGGAGGACCCCTCCCCTGCCCCGCCCCAGGGACGCCGCGGCTCTGGGCGGCGGGGGCGGGACGAGTGGTAGGCCCCCTCGTCCTGCCGGGGGAGGGGGGGGGGGGAGGCGGGGAGAGGCGAGGGTGGCGGGCGGGGAGGCGGCGGCGCGGAGGGGAGCCTGGAAGGGAGCCCAGGCATGGTCGCGTCCGGGAGAAGGAACACTGTACAGGTCAGCTCTCGTGGCCCTCCTCCCCCTCGCCTCCTCGAGGGAGGCGCAGAGAGGGAGGGGAGAGGAGGAGGGTCACGAGAGCCGACCTGTACTGCGCATCCACCAGAGAAAACGCCTGGCTCTTCGACCGACCAAGGCAGGAGAGCCCAGAATCGAATCGACAAGTCGGATCGGCGATCGAAATGAGTCGGATCGGCGGAATCGGCAGCAGAATCGGGAAAAGTCGAATCGGCAGAAATCGGCACGCTAGTATGCCTCCAATAGGAAATCTGAACCCAAATCGGAACCCCAAGTCGGATCGAATATGAATCGACAGCAATCGAAATTGAATCGAATCGAACCGGATGAATCGAAACGAGCCCTGCCAAGGACGCCTGCACATCCCCCAAATCAGTTTCAGGTTCGGATCTAAGCGCAAGCCGCAAACTTAGGGCCGCAGCGTCCCCCGCAGCCTCGTCGGCGAGCGAGTTTCCCTTGCGAGCAAACTTCTGGCATTCTGAAATCCGAGCCCCTCGAGCTCAAGGGCCTCGAGCTCGAGGGGCCGCTTTCCATCTTGAGCTCGAGGGTCTCGAGCTCGAGATGGGAAGCGGCCCGCTTTAATGGAGCTGGGCAGGGAGCTCTGTCCTTAGAGGTGGTCTGATGCCTGCCCACCAGGATGCTTGAAACACCCCGAAGCCTTTCCCCCTCTTCGCACCCTGGGACCCGCCGAATGACTAGCGCAGCAGCTCCACACCTCCTGCGCCTAGGGTCCGACGAGAATTCCCCTCCAGAACCGTCGCCACACACCACAAGCGGGTCGTGCCCAAGAGGGGCCGAGAGCTCCAGAAGCGAGATTCGACCAAAGGCGGCACGACCCTCTTCCTCGGCAGAATCCTCAAAAACAGGGTGGGTGTGGTCGGAAAAGGGGGAACCACGTGACGCCTTAAGGCAGGGTGATACCCTGCGCCTGCTAACGCTTGCGGGATCCGTCGATCATTTCTCATGATCCTCATGGTTCGTGTGAAAGCCATGGAGGGTCGCGGCATCAAAATCGGGAAGCCGAGGGGGCACCAAGCCCTAGACACTCGTCGACCTAGATGGGGTCGGAGTAGATGGGGTCGGAAGATCGCTCCGCATCGCCGATACATCGGCGATGACTCGGAGATGCACCGGCGATGCATCGTCGACGTGGGTGATGCATCGGCGACGTCGACGCGAAGCACATCGGGCTCCACATCGAGCCGCATCGCCGATGCATCGTCGATGCCTCGGCGATGCGGCGCGATCCTCCGATCCTCCGATCCCATTTACCTGGACCCCATCTAGAAGGCCTAGGGAGGAAGCGCCAAGACGCAGACACTCGTCGACCCTGACAAACGACTGAGATGGGAGAGGAGAGCCGGGAGGGGAGGGACGGTGGAGCCGTCCTCGAGGACGGCGCGAACATGGCGTAACTTACCAGAGGTGGTGGCCTCGGGGACGCGACCATGGCGTAATTTGCTAGGGTGTATGGCTTCGGGGGGACGCGACCATGGCGTAATCTGCTGGGGTGTATGGCTTCGGGGGATCGTGGCCTCGAGGGCGTGAACCTGGTGCACTGGGCGAGCGTAGCCGACCGCCAGGCAAGCCCGACCGCGGCGCGGGGCCGTCCTGCTCCCAGGGAGCCGCGCCCTCGCCCTGCGGGCGGGTGCGCGCGCTCGCGCGCCCGCTGGGAGGAGGAGAGGCCAGGAGGAGCAGAAGCCGAGAGGAGGAGAAGAGAGAGGAGGAGGAGGAGGAGGAGGAGGAGGAGGAGGGGGAGGAGGAGGAGGAGGGAGGAGGAGGAGGAGAGGAGGAGGAGGAGGAGGAGGAGGAGGAGGAGGAGGAGGAGGAGGGGGAGGAGGAGGAGCAGGAGGAGGAGGAGGGGGAGGAGGAGGGGGAGGAGGAGGGGGAAGAGGACGAGGAGGAGGAGGGGGAGGGAGAGCAACAGGAGGAGGGGGAGGAGGAGCAGGAGCAGGAGCAGGAAGTGGGCGTCGTCTGGAAAGCGTCCGCAGGGTAACGGACGCCCACAGGCTGAGGCGATGGCTGCCACCATAGGCAGCAGCGGCCTCGGCCGAGACCACGGAAAACCCGTCGTCATGGCCGAAGTCATGAATTAGTCAGAGTCATCAGAACTCCCAGCCACCGCCCGCTCCACCCGAGCCTCCAGCCTCCTGGGATCACCCACCTCCATTCGGAGGGGCTCCGAAGGCAAGTCGGGCACAGGGTCGGAGAGGCGGCTTCGACCATGGACAGAGCTTTGCCTGTGGTCGGATGTAGGCCCTTGGTGGCCTTGGCAATCGTTCGCAAGTGCTTGTCACGGGTCGAGGGTACAGAAGATGGCCCTTTGCACAAAACCTTCAAGGCTCGCTCGGCCCCATGAGGCAGCACCAAAAACCCAGCACACTTCGCACATATTGTAACTCGGCCAGTCCTCTGGGCCGAATGCCCATGCTCATGACAGGAACGGATAGCTTCGGCCCCCTCGTCACCAGACGGGTTCCCAGAGGGGTGAGAGGCGGAAGCGTACCAGCGTCCACAAGGGCTTGGTCGCGTGGTCTGCCTTCGCCAGGGCCTCAGCCTTCAAATGCCTAGCTCTCGTCCCGCAGGTACGGAGCGGAGCCACCCCTGGCCTCTCAAGGCCGCAACCGCCGTGGGCCGACAAAACTTAGACGGGCCATTGCACAGGTGGTTCAGCGTGCTGGTCATCCACACACCAGCAAAACACGCCACGCATCGCACTTCACCAGTGGCCTCATTCTGCACAAGGGAATGTCCGTGCAGTGTGAGCCGCGGCAGCGGAAGGTCCTTGCACAGATCAGTGGGCGGCGGAGTTTCAGTCCATCTCTTGAGTCTGACAACTCTGGCAGCAGCCCACGCAATGTATTCAACAGTGGCCTGGTGAAACTTGAGCTCGCCCGCCGCTGCCTCCGCACATGCACGAGCGACCATGACTCGCGTCGAAGCCATCTTCGCAAATGGGTCAGCCCACGCATTGCCAATCCAAGCGGCAGGGTCGAGTCCTCAATCCATGACTTCCTCGAGGCTGAGGTGTGCAGGAGCCCAGACGAACGAGACAGGAGGGGCCTCGGTGGGCCGCGACCTGACCGTCTCAAAAACAGCACGCCATATAGCAGCGTACTTCCTCATTCCACACGCATCCTCAGGGCCCCACGCTTCTCCGTCTTATGTCAACGCAAGCAAGTCAGAAACCAAAAACTTCCAGGGAAAGGTTTCGCCGAGTGGCCTGGAGCAGCGCGGTTCTCTCCGCGCGCCCTACCTTCTGGACGGCCCTCTCCAGCGATCCAAAAACAAGTCGGACAGGAACAACCTGGGCATTCAGCTGAACTATGGCCCATCCAGCTCTCCGGACCTCTGGCGCCGCAGGGGCCCGGGCGCTTCCATCCCCGAAAATAACAAGCCCCCACTCCCCACCAACGTCCCCCCAACTCCCACGCCGCAGCACCCTCAGGCGGGGATGGAAGCTGAACAGAAAGTTTAGGAAACCCATCGCTAACTCAGACAAACCTCAGCGCCAGTCAACAACTCGCTCTCATCGGGTTCCATGAGCGCAGGACAATCACAACAAATGCGCCCGAAAGATCCATCCTTCGATTCACAGGCAGAGAGCAGTGGGGACTCATATGTTTCCCCCGAGCAGCTAAGCGAGCAGGCGTGAGATATCGATCGGCCCAAAGCCCGCGAAGAGCGCCCATCGGCGCCGCCTTCAGATCACGAAGACCAAGTCGTAGGGCCCGCTCCCAAACATCGTGGGTCGACTCATGGACGGGCCAGTGATACGTCAGTTTCTACACCTGCCAGCGTTTGATCGCATCTTCCAGAACTACACCCTGCGAAATGCTTTAGAAATCATGGGTTAAGAAATTCAGAGTCTCAGAAATTGAATAAAACCCAGAACTTCTGTCAAAATCTGGGGATTTACATCGAAACAATAAGAAAAGGCGAGACTCTGGCCGAAACCTTACGTTTTCTTAAGCATCGCCCAAGGTGTACCTTCATATCAGCTGGTGCTACACGTAGTAAATCGTAAACCTCTCCAATATCATTGCGCCAGCGTTGCGGAGAAACTGGAGCCCAGCCGATCCTCTGTAGCGTCAGGCAGACAGCGCCAATGGGGCCCTCGCACCCCTGCCCAGGCAAGTCCTTTGTCGTGGATGCGGATAACCAGTGCCTCCCAAGCGTGGCGTAGCTCGCTCATCCAAACGCGACCGTCCCACAAAAAGCAGTGGCACCTGCACATCGGGGAAGCCGTCGCATCTTAAATAAGACCATCACGAATCTGCCATGGACAATAATCAATCATAAGCTGCCTTGTGCGCCCTTGAGGGGGCTCGACCTCATGATTTAGCTGTTGCATCTCCCATTATCCGAGACAGGGGGCCGGCGGCACGGGGCGAAACCCTTACGGATAAGAAGACGAAGACTAAGAGAAATAATAATAATGATGGTAAGATGAAGAGTAAGAAAAATACGACTAACAGTAGTAACAATAAGACGACGAATCCTACTAATGAAAATGAGAAGAAGACTAATACATATCAGCGTAATTAATAATAATAAGAAGAACAATATTAGTTTCTACGAAGGAGAAGAAGGGGAGCAGGAGCAGGAGGAGGAGGAGGAGGAGGAGAGGAGGAGGAGGAGGAGGAGGAGAAAGAGGAGAAGGAGGAGGATTAGGAGGGGAGAAGGAGGAGGGGGAGGAGGAGAACGAGGAGGAGGAGGAGAAGGAGGAGGAGCAGGAGGAGGAGGAGCAGGAGGAGGAGGCGGAGGTGGAGGAGGAACAGGGGGAGCAGGAGGAGGAGGAGGACGAGGAGGAGGAGGGGGATTAATTAGGGGGAGGAGGAGGAGGAGGAGAAAGAGGAGGAGGAGGAAGATGAGGAGAAGGAGGAGAGAGCACCTGACCATTCCTTGCAAACATACACACACATCTTGTTTTTGTGCTCCTCCTCCTCCTCATCATCATCCTCCTCCGTCTCCTCCTCCTCCTCCATCTCCTCATCCTTCTCCTCCTCCCCCTTGCACTTCAATGCCTCGCTGCGTCTTCTGTGCTTTGATGGCGCTGGGATGGTGAAGGGGAGAGGGAGGTGGAGGGGGGCGCGATCCAGGAGGGGCCGAGAAGCGGCAGGGGAAGCCAAAGGGCTGCGTTTTCGGCAGGGCCGCCCTCGGCGAAGGCTGGGGGCGGCCGCGGACTGGCGAGGCTGTGCCTTACTTGAGCCTTTTTTCTGTAGGGCTGGGGAGTGGTATTCTAACCAAACTCGAGCCCATCCCCATCATCAGGTTGACAGGTCAAAAGGCGATGGTAATCTTAGGGATGCGCCTTCAAGAACCGAGGGGGCCCTCGAGATCGGCATCGAGATGAAACGAGGCCATTCATGGGGATAGGGATATGTCCCAGGCTGGTAAGGTTTCCGCTCGGACAGACTCTCGCCTTCTTTCGGGAGCGGGGAGCCGCTGGCGGAACGCCAAAGCCTCGAGTAGAACATGCGAGTGCCAGTCAAGCCTCTGGGGCACTCGAACTAGCGCGTCGCCAACTCGTGCCTCGCGGCACGGTGGCGGACCCATCAGGCACAGCCCCCTGGGACTCGAGACCTCCCCTCCTCGTGGGTCCCCGCCCCGCTGCTGCACTCCTCCCCCGCCCGCGACGCCCCTGCCCGCGCGCCCTTCTCCCGCGCCGCTGCTAGACCAGCGCGCTCCACTACTCGCAAAGTAACTACTCGCAAATGGCCTGGATCCGCCGCGGGGGATCTACGATACATCCCATCAAAGCAGACATGTGCTTTTCGGACGTTTGCGAGTAGGCACTTTGCGAGCACTGGAACGCGCTCGGTGAGCTGCCGACTGCTGCCCTCCACTTCCCTCGGAGCCCCCACTGGGCCCTTAGGTGGAGCTCCCTATGGGGCCACGAAGCGCTGTACTGGGTGTGGCGGACGCATGTGGCCACCCCCACTGGGGCCTTGGGCGAAGCTCCCTATGGGGCAACGAAGCGCTGTACTGGCTGTGGCGGACGCATGCGGGCACCCCCACTGGGGCCTCCGGTTGAGCTCCCTATGGGGCCACGAACTCGCAGGATAGGGCGCGCCGAGGCGGGCCCCTCCTGCCCCCACGGGAAGGTGGGCTCCACGCTTGGGCCGCCCCCCCCTGGTGCGCGCCCGCCCGCCCGCTCTTTGCGCGTTCCCCTCCCGTCCCTATGTCCCCTTCCCCGCCCAGCCCACCTCACATCCAACCTCCCTCCCCTCTTTCCACGCCGCCCCCCGCCAGGGCTACCCATCTCTCCCCCCCCCGGGCCTTCTCCACTGCCTATCCCCCCTTCCCCGCCCAGTTCTTGGAGAACGTAGCCGCACGTGGCTGTGTGGCGCGGCTGTCAGGACTTCACTTTGAGGATGTCCGTGCCTCAAGCGGGCGTACGCCGAAATGCACTCATCCAAAAATGATTCGGCTTCCTCCCGGCACCGCGCGCTCCTGGGCGAGCCTCTCCCTCTCCCGCGCGGCGGCGATAGGGCCCTCGGGCCCTCGGACCCGTGGGGAGGCACAAGAGTACGCTACATATGGACCTCTCCTGGGGTACGCTCTGAGCAGATTGTCGAAGAGAGTCCAGCCGGTGGGCGTCGCTTACCCAGCGTCCCTCGGGTCATGCAAAAATAACGACGGCGAGTTTTTCGCTATCTTCGGCCCCTGGGGGCCCTCACTGGCCCCCGTGACCGTCAAGAAACGGCTCAAGACGACAAACCATTCTCTCGGAATGGGTCCAGACCGATGGGGGCCCACGTCATGAACAATTAATTCATGACGTTGGGGGATCCAGGTTGGGCATCGCTTGGTGGGGGGCAATCAATGTGGGGACGGGAGAAGCGTGCACTTCTCGGGCCCTAAAAGCTCCCTTTGGGGCTCCTTCCCGGGGCCCTTCGGGGCCCGTTCCGGCGCCCCTCAAGGGCCCTCAAGGACCCCTTTCTGGGGGAGGAGGAGGAGGTGGAGGAGGAGGAGGAGGAGGAGGAGGAGGAGGAGGAGGAGGAGGGCTGCAGTTCCCCAGTGCGCGACGCCCCAAGCCGCCGCGGCGAGAAGGGCCTCCCGGGAGGCCCCCCAAAAAAGCGAAAGCGAGACGAGGCTATAGCGGTCTCGGCAGGTGGTGACAGCCGAGCGCCCTACCCCAGCCAACCCTCGACGCTCCTGGATCGACGGGAGGCGTCGCGCAATGGGGAAATGGGGGGGCAGTGAGGGCTGCAAAAAAGGGGCCCGTGAGGGCCCTGGAAAGGGCCCCGGAAGGGGCTCCCACATTGATCGCCCCCCATCAAGCGATGCCCAACCCAGACCCCCGACGTCGCGCGACGAATCCCACCAGCCCTTTGGGCGTGAGTGGTTTAGGGAGCCCGCTCTGTTCTCAACCCCCTTCTTCCCCTTCGGGGAGGGGTTTACGGGGTCTTTTTCGACTCCTAGGAGGGCTACAATTCGGCACCCCTCACGAGGATCGTGGCCCCGACGGGGGGAGGCAGAAAAATGCTCGCCTCTTCTTTGAAGCGACAATCATTGATTTTACTAAGGTTTTGGCCCCATTTTGGCCTTCTGAGGGGGCAGCGCTAATTAAAGCTCCCCTCTTCTTTGAATCCACAATCATTGATTTTACTAAGGTTTTGGCCCCATTTTGGCCTTCTGAGGGGGCAGCGCTAATTAAAGCTCCCCTCTTCTTTGATCGATTTCCTCCAAGATGGCCCCAAGAAGCGCCCAGGAGGCACCAAGAGGCCCCAAGATGGCCCCAAGAGGCCCCCAGGAGGCCCCCAAGAGGATCCCAAACGGCCCAAAGAGGCCCCCCCGAGGCACCCAAGACGCCGAAAAGCCCCTCAGGACGACCCTCTACTCGCCTGGGCGTCGTTTCTGGACGGGCTGGTGGGGATACGCGAAGCGTAAAGAATTCCGAAATCTACCCCTGCTGCCCACTGAAGTGCGTGAATCGCTGCTCGGCGACGGTAGGGTTCGGATTTCACGGTGGGGGGGAGGCATCCTTAACACCCCCGCCTCCCCCCGTGACAAACTGCGGTGCCAGACGTGCTGCGGCAATGCCGGGGACGCACTGGGGGGGGGGGGGGGGGGGGGCGTTACGTTGTGGGGGCGGGGAGGAAATAAAGGGCCGCCCCGCGCCGCGGCGGGGAGGGGGGGGCGGGCGTCACGCGCGTGATGGCCCGGACGCGGCCACGCGAGGCCCCCGTCTTTTCCACGCGCTGTTCCCCGAGGCCCCGCGAGGCGTCCCGCGGGCGGCCGGCGTGGCGCGGCCCGCCGCGCGCGGGGCCGGGCCCTTGGGGGCCGCACCGCGCGGCGCGGGGGGGAGCCGGGCGCGGCGCTGCCTCTGCTCGCGGGGGCGCGACACCCAGAGTCTCTGGATGGGGGCCCAGGGGCACACAGATAGGTGCGCACAAATCCGAGGGTGCCCCATAGCTTTCGATGTTCGTCTCCCCCCCACTTCCCGCAGTCAGTTTCCCGTTGCTTCCTGGGGATTGACGTTTACGCGTGCCTGCGTCTTTTTGTTGTCCCCTTCGGACCCCTCGGGCCATGACAGGATCACGAATGTGTTTTTCTCAGTTCTCGGCCTCTGGGGGCCCTCGTCGGCCCTCGGACCGTCAACAGAAAAACAGTCGGAAGGAAGACGAGTCCCGGGGGATGGGTCGAGACCTCTGGGGATCGACGCCATGGAAAAATCATGGCGCCGGGGGTCTGGGCACATGGAGGGTCCCAAACACCCGGAATCCAAAACTGTCGCCCTCTCTTGGGGGCCGATGTTTACTTCGGGAGCGGCCAAGAGGGGGGCGTCCAAGAGGGGGGGGTGCAAATCATGGCCGGCGGCATGTGCGCGGCCCATGGGGGGGCCAGGGACGTAAAACATAAGAAGAGGCGCCATGAAATCTGGGGAAATCTCATGGCCCCCGCCATGATATCCACCCTCCCCTAGTCATCACCCCCCTCTTTGCCGCCCCCGATTACTTCCGCCGGCTCCCGCCAGCCAGCCTTTCGCCGGCGGGGCCGCCCTGGTTCTGCTTCCGTCGGCTGCCGCCGACCTTCCGCCGCCCTCCTCCGAGGACGAGGCGACAACTCCTTCGAGCCTCGACGGCGGGGAGGGGGGGGGGCGTGTTTTCCTTTGCCTGGCTCTGGAGCGTGTCGAGTGCCTTCTAGATCCGAGCCTTGGCGGCGACGCTTGGCGCAACAGACATGCATGCATGAATCCATGAACGCCTGCAGCCAATCCTGCGGCAATATGTGTTCGCAATCATGCGCTGCATGGCGTGGCAACAATGCTCCAGAAAAGTGCTTGTCACACTTGTCCGGGGCGAAGAGGCGTGCACCTCTCGTGCCCCCACGTAACTTTTGGGCCCCAGTAGGCCCCGTTAGCGCCCTTCTGGCGTCTCGATTTTTCCGAGACGCAGGCCCCCGACCTCTCGACCACCTCTCCAGGGCCGGTTTTTCGTCCTGGGTCGCTGCTTGACGGCCCCGACGCCCAGCAAGGGACCCGAGAGGCCGAAAACTATGCAAAACCTCCGCGTCGAGTTCTTCGAGACGCCAGATGTCTGGTTTCAGCGTTCCTGCTATGCACGATGGTTGCACCTTGTTTCGCCCTCCCCCGTTGGTCGGGCGCCAGACTGGATGGGTATGGCAGGCGTTTCGGCCTTCCTCCCTGCTCGGCGCCCCTCCCTTCTGCTGCTCCTCCCTTCCTCCTGCTCCTCCTCCTCCCTCCTCCTCCTCCTCCTCCTCCTCCTCTCCTCCTCCTCCTCCTCCTCCTCTCCTCCTCCTCCTCCTCCTCCATCTCCATCTCCTCCTCCTCCTCCTCCTCCTCCTCCTCCTCCTCCTCCTCCTCCTCCTCCTCCTCCTCCTCCTCCTCCTCCTCCTCCCCCGTTGGTCGCCCCCCCCGTCGCGCAACGCCCGAGAGAGCCGCGCCGGCGCAGCGGCAGGGCGCCGGGCCCAACTGCAGGGGGCCGCCGAGCAGAGGGCACAAGGCACAGGGCGGCGAGCATGCTCGGGGGGTCTTGGAGGAGGAGGAGGAGGAGGAGGAGGGGGAGGAGGAGGAAGGAGACGCCCTGGGAACGTGGCCCCTGACCAGATGGCAGCGGAGCGTCTCCTCCCGGCGGGCACGCGTCTACGCCTCTCTCCGCCGTCATGCCCGCGGCCTCGCGGTCGACTGCGTGCTCGGCCATGGACTCCTCAGTACAGCCAGCCCCTGTCGTAAGGATGCGCGGTAGAGCTGCAAGGGCCTTGGAAGGCCATGTCGACACTCTGCGAGCGGGGCGCGGCCAGCGAAAGCGGGTGAGGATGGGCCGAGGAGCAAAGGATGCAAGGGTACCCACCTGCCCTGGGCCGTCTCCGGCGGTCTTCAGGCGGTCTTCGGCGGTTCCTGGTCGTCTTCGGCGGTTTCCAGCGGTCTTCGGCGCGCGAAAACTGGATGGCTGCGTTCCACAAGGTCCATGATCGAACACCTAACGCCTGGATGCCCTCAGATCTTGGCGTCGCAATTTAAACAGAACGAGCGTGTTCGCGCGGTTTCGGGCCCCAGGGCCCTCGCAGATCGATCTGGGTCGAAAAATGGCGCAGAAAGATTGGGTCCGGGGCTCTGGACGTGACGTTTAGCGATGTTGCCTTTACTGCAACGTTGGGTCACAACGTTGTGGGCGCGATCTCGCAGCGGATACACAGTCGTACGGGTACGTTCCGCGCGGGGCGTCGGCAAAAGAGCGGCCCGTTCAGGCGGGATCGCGGCCCAGGGGCCCAACCAGCGAGGCCACGGGCACGGATATGTGTTTCGCCCACGGACAGGCAGGGCGGAGGGGCGGAGGTGAAGCAGAAAGGTCTCCGCAGGTTGGGGCACATCGAGGCGGCAATTCGTCGCCGCCGTCGGCCTCAGGCAGGCGCCCCCAAAGTCGAATCGACAAGTCGGATCGGCGATCGAAATGAGTCGGATCGGCGGAAATCGGCAGCCGAGTCGGGAGAAGTCGAATCGGCGGAAATCGGCAGGCTAGTGTGCCTCCAATAAGAAATCGGAGCCCAAATCGGAATCCGAAGCCGAATCGAATCGGAATCGGAAACCATCGAAATCGAATCGAATCGAATCGGAGGAATCGAAGCGAGCCCTGCCTCAGGGGGGCTCCTCGCTGGGCCCTGGGGCCGCCAGCACAGGCACTCGGGATGAACCGCGGGGCCCGGGTCAACTCGCAAAGGCCTCCCCCACGGCTCCGCCCTGGTCCTCCACAAAGCCCTCCCCCCCTGGCTCCGCCCCTCCCCCCCTCCCCGCCTCCCCGTTAGCCGCAGCTCCCTCGTGCAAGGCCAGGGGACGCGTGCCCGCGCCACGCGGAACTTCGATGTTGATCGAATTCCACGTGGCGGAGGCACTACCTACGCATCTTACGCCCAAACAAGCCACTGGCCATTCTTGTTCCCAGCCCTCCTGCGTTGGGTCCTGATTCTGAGTCGAGCACTGGTGTCGTGTATCCTTCCTTTCCGCCTCCCTCCTCCATTCCCCTCCTATTTGCCTAGTAGCTCGCCGCCTTACCCAGGGGCTCGCTGGGGAGAAAGTGAGAGACAGAGAGAGAGAGAGAGAGCACGCTGCTACGCATGAAATGTATGCCAATGAGAACGGTCAATGATGAAGCTGTGATGCCTCTTCTGATCTTGAGCCGGCTATGATGCGCACTTGTTGACACTTTCGAGGCCTGCTGGGGGGGCAGGATTGTGGGAATCCAGCGCACGTACATACTAGACCTCCCCATCCCTGGGGAGCTGCGAACTGCGTAACTGTCGCCAATTTCGAGGGCTGCGGGAGGGCAAGCGCAGTAACGGCCTACGCGGGCTCAGATTCGGCCTCGCCGTCCCCAGGGGAGCTGCGGACTACGAAACTGTCGCCACTCTTGAGGGCTGCCCCGGGGGGGGGGCAGCACAGTGACGTCCTACGCGGATTCATATTAGACTTCGCCATCCCTGGGGGGGGTGCGAAATGCGAAAACGTCGCCACTTTCGCGGGCTGCTGGGGGGGTATAGCACAGAGGCCTCCTACACGGATTCAGATTCGACGTCGACATCCCTGAGGAGGCTGCGGAATTACGCGGACCCAGACCTCGCCATCCCAAGGGGGGTGTGAACTGCGAACCTGCCGCCAGTTTCGAGGGCTGCTGGGGGGGGTCAGCATTGTGGCGTCCTACGCGAACTCATACAATTAGACCTCGCGCGAAGTGCGAAGCTGCCGCTAATTTCGAGAGCTGCTGGGGGACCAGCGCGGTGCCGTCATACGCGAATTCAGATTCGTTTTCGACATCCCTGGGTGGCTGCGAACTTGTCGCCACTTTCGAGAACTGCTGGGGGGAGGACACAGCGACGTCCTTCGCGGACTCAACTTAGACCTCGCCATTATTGGGGGGCTTCGCACTGCGAAGCGGTCGCCACTTTCGAGGGATGCTGGGGGGGGGGCCAGCGCAGTGCCGTCCTGCGCAGATTTAGGTTAGACGGCAACATCGCAGAACGAAGTGGACAGGTGGGGGCAGGGAGGACGGACATCGAGACGTAACGCAGATGGAAATACAGATCCCCGCCAAATTCGTTTTTTCTCCGTACTCATAGCCCGCCGATCTGTGCCTAAACAGTGTGAGCGGGTCGAGGGAGGGGATATCGGGTGGATCGCGGGGAGTGCGCGGGTTGGGTCGCGGGCTGGATCGCGGGGTGGGCTGTCGAGTGGGACGGCGACAACAACAATAGCGAGGATCCAGACCGAGAATCCCGACATCGCCTACGCCCCCAAAGGCTGTGTAAAAAAGGTTGTGCCCCCGGCACTCTGATAACGCTGCAAACGGAGACTGGAGAGATATGGAGAATGGAGACAGGAGCATGCAACACGGAGATCAACGTGCGCAGCAGTCTCTTATTCGCTAAGCTGCGCGTACCCTTCTGGTAGCGCGACGCAGAGACAACTGTGGAAGCAGCGCGTGACCTCTGGGCTAAGCTCGGCCCAATGGGAGCCGCGTCCCTGATCTGGGCCCGACGACCTGGCAGTCCTCAACATGGAAACAACACGGCAAGCATGCCGTTCCGAGGTACACTCCTGGTCTCCGGGCATGTCATGACGGCGCACCGTGTTGCGCTTGCAAGCACGGTGTCTCGAAACAGATGCAGAGTAATACTCTGACGGTAGGACACCACATGATAATACAGTGTGGTCCACGACCAGGGTTGGCCCCAAAAATACTCCAAGAAGCCATCGAGAGACCGCCTCCTCGTCCTCATCCTCCCCTCTTCATCCTCCTCCTCCCCCTCCTCCAACCTCTTCTCGCTCGCCACGAACACACACATATAGCACCAGCGATACAATGTGGGCCGGCGGAATGAGCGAAGCGATTAAATACTCTGACGGTAGGACCCCACATGATAAATGATTCCCCATATTTTCCCATATTTTTTTGGTTTCTGTCTTCCCCTCACTTCCCATATTTTTGCATATCTTCCTGGGTGTTTCTTTCCCTCCTGAACTCTGACGGTAGGACCCCACATGATACTATTTTTAACTTGCCCTCGCTTTTTTCTGCTGCGCCTTGGCGGAGGCCCCCCTCCCGCCCTCTGTTGCGGCTCTTCCTCCTCCTCCTCCTCCTTCTTCCTCCTTCTTCCTCCTCCTCCTCGTCATCTTCGCCCTCCGTCTCCTCCTTCTTCGCGTCCTCCCCCGTTTCCTCCTCCTCCTACTCCTCCTCTTCCCCCTTTTCCTCCGCCTCCTCCTTCTCCTCCTCCTCTTCCTCCTCGTTTTCCTCCTCATCCTCCTCCTCGCCATCCTCCTTATTCTCCCTCTCTTATACTGCTCCTGCCTGTTCTACCCGTGCACATCCCCTACCTCCTGGCCAGGGCAAGTGGATTTTCCTCGGCGCCCTTGCCGCCGTGGCTGGTATGAACGCGCTCTCCAATGGCCGTTGGGAGAGCTCCATAGGGAGGGGGCTCCCGCCTGAGACTTCCCCGCGATTCACTCACAGACGAGGCTCCCGCTGCATATTTCCTCCATGCTCAGGCTTGGGGAGCCCAAAAGTGACGACAATCACACGTATCAGGATGACCCGTTCGGAGTAAACTGCGTGCCAAGAGTATGTGGCCAGTGAGAAACGCTCTTCTCTTCACACCACCTCGTACGAAGAACACCATGGTCCTATGCCACCATGCGCTGCCTCATCCTACCCGAAAATTTGAAAAACGGCGGCCAAACCCACGTCACTCCGTGGACTGGAGGTCACCAGACAGCCCTCGCTGGAGCCGCCGCGTCATGCCGATGGCCTTCCGCCGGCGCGAGGGGGGTGGGTGGGAACGTGAAGCAGCAATTAGGCCAGACAGCAGTTAGGCCAGCCAGTGCGATTCTGGTACACGCATCGTGACGTGAGGGCATGCACGTTGATCCCGGGCGCGGAGCTCCTCCGAATTCCCCTCGCCCTCCTTACCTTCCTCCCGCCTCCTCCTCCAACTTTCCCCTCCCCCTTCCCTGACCTCCCGCGCATCCCTGGCCTCCTCGGTCGTCCAGCTCTCCCCGCCTGCTCATCGCCCTGCACTCCTGCATCATTTGCTCTTGTGTTCATTCCTTCTCGTGGTGCTGGTATTTACTCTTGGTTTACGTTGCTCCGACTTACGGACCACCTCCCAAAAATAATTGCAGGTACCCAAAACAGTATCGAAACAGTGCTTGCCCGACACGCTGGCGAAGTGTCGACCGCGTATCGCCCCCCAGGGCCCGACGCGTGAAACCCTCCAATGTCGGTACCTTCTTGGTGCTCGGAACCATTCTTTGTGGCGAGCCAGGCAAATGTAGATTTACTCTTGGTGTTTCTCCAGCTCAGCCGTCACTGTCCTCGCCACGGCCAATTTGTTTCGACCTGGGCCCGAAGAGACCCCGAAACTGCCAGCCCCGCGCAAAACTCGCCCCAAAACCACCCGAGGAATGTTCGCGAGGCTGGAGGTGAGAGAGGAGGATGAGGAGGAGGAGGAGGAGGAGGAGGAGGAGGAGGAGGGGGAGGAGGAGGAGGAGGAGGAGGAGGAGGAGGAGGAGGAGGAAGAGGACGAGGAGGAGGACGGGGAGGAAGAGGAGGAAGAGGAGGATGGGGGACAGGAGGAGGAGGGGGGGGAGAAGGCGGAGGAGAAGGAGGAGGAGGAGGAGGAACAGTCCTCGTGCTACCATGAGGAGCGCTGA